TTATGTAGTCGTGAAGCGGCTGCAGCTGCTGGAGGGTTTGACAAGTGTAAGGGGCTTATCTGCATTAAATGACTCTTGTGTAGGGGCGGGCTGAGAACCACGGAGATTCAACGTCTGCTTTCCCTTTAAGACTGGATCGCAAACACATTGACTGTTTAGGGTGTGCTGCCATCTCCTGGCCAAACTTGGGTTGCAATCAAATCACAAGCACTTACAGCGAAAAGTGACACAGTCACACAAGCATGATATGGTGACCCCAAACAACACAAAACAAACACATCCTACAGGAACATGCTGACACCCCCTGGTGACTGCAGAGAGTACTGCTCTGCTGCTAGTGGCCTGTGATGGCGCCTGCCAAGCACTGCTGAGCAAGCAAATCTGAAGACTTGGGGTGAGTCCACACAGAAAATTCAAATATTCCAGATGAGATAGGCCAGTATATTGATTCCATCACCAAATTCTCTCATGGTGTAATAAAGAGTAGTTAGGCTTGTTCATGAGCTCAGAATGCTGCAAGTTTGTGCTGAAAAGAAGCTGGAGGGGGCTGGCCTGGTGGTGTAGTGGTTAACTTCAGCACGCTCTGCTTTGGCGGCCCGGGTTCGTGGGTTTGGGGGCCCAGGTGCAGAACTACATCACTCATCAACCCATGCTGTGGCAGCATCCCATGTACAAAATGGAGGAAGATGGGCACAGATGCTAGCTCAGGGCCACTCTTCCTCAAGCAAAAACAGGAAGATTGGCAACAGGTATTAGTTCAGGGCCAATCTTCCTCACCAAAAAAAAAGAAAGAAAGAAAGAAAAGAATGGAAGCTGGAGAAAAGGGTGTGAACTCAAGAAAGACTCTGAAAAATAAACTGCTATCACCCCACTCTGCGCCCCTCTTCTCTGCTGTCCTATCTCCCATTCCCTTGCCCTACCCTCTGGTAGTGGTAACGTCAAGTACCCGGAAACCAAGAGCAACCTGTGGGGGAGTAACATGTTCCATCAGTCTCTAAGGCAAACTGAGACTTCTGACTGCAGAGATCCCAGTGGACATAGAGTGGAAGAGGGTGTCTTGTCAGCACAGTGAGGGACAGGAAAACAAAGCCAAGCAGATGTCAACCTAACACGTTAACGTGACCTTTATTATGTAGCACATCTGGTACCTGTGCACCCCAGCAAGCATACAGAATACTCTATAAAACCAAACCCAGCCATTCAAAATTACACTAAAGGAAGACAACCCACACCTGCGGCTCTTAAAAATACACAAAATTAGCACAGTCCTGCTGTAACAATATGATGGAAAGAGAAGGCAGCACAAGAAGGGAGAGAGTGTGAGGACTGAAATTGGTGCCAAAGTCATTTTCTCGTTATTGCACTTTTATTCTACACAGCTAGTATGTTACACTTTTATTTAATACTGTAATAAACATTAGTCCTTTAAAACAAACAAAAACATTACATTAAGACAAAAGACAACAAGCTGTCCAGACCCATTTTCATTTCAATCCTCTGAGTAAGGTGGCCTCCCCAATGCCAGGTGTTCCCACACAATCTCTGTGACCATCTCAACTGGACTAGATGTTAACAAAGCAGGTGAAGTTAAAAACAGAACCCTTTTAAGAACAGTAGTGCTACTTGGAACCCCCATGGGAGCCTGCAATACAAGTTTCCCAAGGTTACTCCCTCCTCACCCACTTTACCATCACACTGGCCCTAACCCACGCCACCCCCATATTTATAAGAATAAACTCTTTTTTTTTTCCTTTTAAAGAAAACGTGGGTTATTTAATCCAGCAAATCCAAAACTCAAGCTTTGAAAACTCAAAGAAAGCAAGACTGCTCTTTTGGCAATGGACTCTTCAAGGGCCGTGTATCCTGCTCTGATGCAGTGTGGACTTCGAGCTTCCCTGATTAGCCAGATGGATACCAAGCATGCCTTCTCTCCAAAGCAAGGCCGGGGAGTCTGTGTTCCCCAAAGCCCTACTGCAATCACTAGTCCCCCTGGCTTCTCAATGCTAAATAATAAGCCAAAAAATAAAGTGTCGTTCAGTGCAGTGATCACTTGGCAGCCCTGCCACCCCAAACCACTTCTCCCGCCAGGAAAAAACTTTCCCAGCCCCTCTTTGGCAGCTCCAGCAAGGATGCAAAAAAATGCATTGGAGTGTTCTACCATCCCCCTATTTCTATCCGTGGTGGCAGTGATGCATCCTTTCCTTCACTGTTTCCTTCAATTTTAGTGTTAGAAAGTAGGAGAAGCTGATGACTAGGCTCTGTCCCCTTAAAATGGATGGAGTCACAAGTGACTCTCTTTGGTCTGGGAAGAACCAGCATGGTCCTCCTTCCCAGAGAAGTGAAAGCTTGATCAATCAATGAGCCACTCTCTGCAGAGAATCAAGGGAACCAGGGGACGCCTGTGGAAACTCATCAAATGAGCATTCCTCAACCCACGCCAGGCTGAGCCTGCCGCCTGCTCCCTAGGCACAGGGCCAGCCACTCTGGGGCCCCAAGCTCCACCATTTCTTATGATTGCTCTGCAGAAAGGTCCCTCACTCAGTTCTGAAGCAGCGTAAGTCACCAGACTTCAAGTGTGATAAAAATGGCCAGGTGATCATTTTCGGGCTGGGGAAAATTGCCCTAATTAAGCTGATTAGCAGAACAGAACACAGTGAGGGTAACTCTTTCACCCATCTTTCCTCCCCCAGCCAGTCTCACCTCACCACTTGGGAGCACACACAACCAAAGTAGGAGGTACAATCTTCACGACTTGGGCCTTGCTGAGCCCTCTACAGCCTAAGTGCCATCGCACTTCTTTGAAAACCTAGTGTCTTCCCAAGTAATATACAGTACAGTACATTTCATGGCATTCCATCACTTCAATAACAATGGGTGCCAAGGAACAAAGAATCTGAAATTAGCTAACAATGTTACAAAACAACAGCAAAGTATACACGTTATACATATGTACTCATGCACTCAGCCTGCTGAGTGTTTAAATAACACCTCCAAACATCTGTATGTGCACTTTGGCTGGCCTAGAGATTTTCAGGAATATTTTGCACCTTTCCTAAGAATACTTTTTTTTTAACCAACTGTAACACAACTACTCATCTCCTTACTTAGCATTAGCCCCTCCCTCCCCACTCAGGCAAAAAATGTGGGGCATCTGCTAGAAAATTGTGTCTGAGAGCAGACTAAGCCACAGGGGACAAACTGAAAAGGGACTCTGAGTGGACAGAAACCTAACCTCCCATGTGTGAACAGGGGTACGAACTAAGACATCCAAAGAATGTTAGGAATGTGGTCTCCACATGGGAGCACAGACTCCTGATTATATAGCTAGAGCTAAAAGAAGACAGTCTGGAAAAGGGAACTATGTGAGACCTTTCTTGAAATTTCACACAGAACATACTTATACTGATTTTTCAGCAAGTAGAGACTACTTATCTCTCTTTTGTTAACTTGGAACCTGGCTTCCTGAAAGCCCCATCATGGTCCCCAGGAGGGCGATGAGTTAATGCTGACAAGAACAGAGTGACTTGGAAGTAAAGCTAAATTGGTGTTAAAAATTCTGAGAGATACTGAACATTCCACCAAAACAAGGCTGAAGAACCCAAAGACACAGGGCCAGTCACTTTATCATCTGCAAATAAAAAGGTTTTTAGCACTATATGGAGTCTCTGAAGGGCTACATGTGCTCAGGGAGCTCCTGCACTCAAATGTTTCCTAATCAGAGCCCAGGATAGTCAAAGAGTTGAAACTGAACTTTACAAGTTATATAAAATTTTCTTAGAGACCCCATTTATACCCTGTTCATATTCAAGAGATAGTCATTCTGTCACAAACCACCCTAGAAAATTCCAGCAGCAAATCTGCCCATTATCTTATACACTTACTCAGGGACCAGCCTCACACAGTTTGGGGCTAGGCACAGGGGACAAACCACAGGCTTGAGGACTAGGCAGATGGATGGAGGCTCCTCACCTCCACTGTCTATCCCTTCACCTACCTGTTTCTCTAAATCTAATGGACTGCTTTCGTTGAGGGAGGCCTAAAGCCAACATCTGAGATGCACCAGTGTTCTCCTTCCTTTAACTGGAATCAGAATTTCTTTCATGTACACTCATGACAAATTCTCCAAAAGACCACCACACCACCTCCCAACGGCAAGAGAAGAACCTCCTCAGACACTCATACACAGGGGTGAGGAGCACACACACAAAACTGCAAAGAACGTTCTTCTCTTTCATCCAGTTCTGTTCTTTTCTTCTAACAGATTATATTTAAAATAAGGTAAAAAGAAGGGACAAGTTGCAGAAGAAACCTTGGTTAAAAAGCTCAATGATCAAGTTTAAAAACGTCAGTGTGTTAGATTCAAACACAAAAAGAAGTTTCTGATTTTTTTAAGTTTTAAAAACAAGCTGGTATCCTTCTAGTACATTTATATGGAGGCCCATGGCCTCCAGATCATTGCCCACTTCTCAGGTCTCACCAAATATTTCACATTGGGTCAGTTTTTCTCAGACACTCAGCCTTAAGTACCATGTTAACTGGGGCTTCCCCATCTTGAGACCAAAAGAGGAAAAAAAAAAAAAAAAAAAAAAAATCAAAGAAAAAAAAAAAAGAGTGAAGTTTCTGATTTTTTTAAGTTTTAAAAACAAGC